TATCATAATATTAATATATACACATATACATACACATATTATATACATATATACATTGGCACATATATACATATATGTACATATATGCATACTAGCAGGGCCCCATTTCTATGAAAGTAATGATCGGTGCATTCACATCAACTGAAAGTCATTGGCCTACTAACTATATTTACACTCTACTGGAATGGAGCAATAAATCTTGAGAGATGAAAAAAAAAATTAGAAGGTCAAAACAAAATGCGCCTCGCGAAATATAACTTCCAGCACTTCCTCTGTGGAGGACAGCTACGCAGGTTTGTTTCGTTTCTCAATTGAATAATCACAACGGCCAAAGAAGGACGGGAGCTTTTTGTCTAATATATTTTACTAATTTCAGGAAATGAATAAATCAGAAATCAGGCTCCGTCTTGGGGACCTATCTATCTTTTTGCAGGTACTTGCCAAATTTCAACTCTGTAGCTATCGTAGGTTTATTGAAAGAGTGACAAGTGTTTCCAAGTTGCCAATATAATAATAGATATACGTATATACCGTGGCGTCCTGAAAAAACTTGAAAATGTAATCACCCAATCGTCATGTTACAGCTTTGCACTACCCATTCATGCAGCATACGAATTTAAAGATAAACAAATTCCGCGTCATTTGGTATATCAATATTTTATCTACGATAGAATCGTCCAAGATATAGTCACCGAAAACTGACCTATAAAAAATGGACTTGGCCAAATTGTGTGAAATGTGTTTTTCAATAAATACATTTTTAAAAAGTAAAAGTGTGTTCGCACGTATATTTAGTTGCGTCAGCATTGGTAGAGTGGACATGTATTGAAAATCAAATTAATCGAGAGTATTATAACTCTCTCTTGAGGGAACAGCTACTTCTGGTGATATTTTCAAACAGATTGAAAAACAGAACAGTCACAAATACCGCGCAAGACCTGGACTTAACATTACATGACGTGCTCATTAGTATTTTGTGAAAGAGCCATTGCATTCGTGTAGAGCACTGGGATGGAATAAACAAAATCATCCTCTTGAGAATCACCGGATAGCTTGGTTTAGTGGCACCTTTCTTGCACAGGGACTGTGTTAGTTAAATTTTGGACAGAATCATTTGACAGCCAGGAACAGATGTCACGAAACTGTTATGGTTTAGGGTTGTCAAGGGTGGTCAAGGGTGATCTGGAATGGTCTGGGATGGTCTGGTGCTGTCTGGAGTGGTGTGGAGTGGTCTGGGGTGGTGTGGGATGGTCTGGGGGTGGTCTGGGATGGTGAGGTGTAGAAAAGAGGGGTCTAGGTGGGATGGTCTGGGATGGTCTTGGGTGGTCTGGGGTGGTCTTGGACGGTCTAGGATGGTCTAGGTGGTGTGGGATGGTGTGGGATGGTCTGTGGTGGCCTTGGACGGTCTGGGGTGGTCTGGGGTGGTGTGGGATGGTCTGGGGTGGTCTGGGATGGTGTGGGGTGGTCAGGGGTGGTCTGGGGTAGAAAAGAGGGGTCTGGGTGGGATGGTCTGGGATGGTCTGGGATGGTCTGGGGTGGTCCGGGGTGGTCTGGGGTAGAATAGGATGGTGGTCTGGTGTGGTCTGGGGTGGTCTAGGGTGGTCTTGGGTGGTCTGGGGTGATCTGGGGTAGAATAGAGGGGTCTGGTGGGATGGTCTGGAGTGGTCTGTGGTCTGGGGTGGTCTGGGATGAAATAAACAAAATCACCCTCGTGAGAATCACCGGATAGCTTGGTTTAGTGGACTACTCTAGGGTATCGAATAAAAAGGGAGGGATAAAAGGGAGGGGGTAGATAAGTGGTCCAAAATTAATAAACGGGG